TTTCGTTGTCCATGCTTAGTGTGGCACAGACAGACACACAATGAAAAGGGTTAAGTAAACGCCCTTCTCCTTTTTATCTGCTTTCAGGTGTATTTCTATTTTGCCCACCCCCTGTTACTTCCCCCGGTGATTTACAGGAGCATCACATGTTTGTAACATTTTTAAATTTTATCCGATTGTGAAAGGGGCCCCAATACTTTTTTCCAGCCCTTTTTTTGGATTTTTTTGTGTGACTTTAAAAGTCGAATTTGCTTTCTTTCCCCCCTTTTTTTTTGTTTTGTCCCAATCACACAAAGGGAAAAAACAGTGTATAGAAAACAGTGTTAATGCAAAAACGTTTCGTGAGAAATACATGTTTTTCCGGGAGAAATACAAGGGTCCCCAAAAATTTCGGCCATGACTGATACCCAATACCACAAAAAAATATATAAAAAAACTTTTAAGGAAAAAACTTTTTGAAAAAAAAGTGTCAAAAATATAAAAATTTCACCAAAAAACCTTATAAATAATGGCAGATCATCCATAAATATAACTTCAAAACGGAAACCTGCAACACACCGTCCCATCGATCAAAAATAAAAGGAGAAAAACTTGTATTTTAAAAAAAAAATCCACTTCTCCAAAGTAAAGCCCACCTTCAAAGTAAGGGGGGGTTTGAAAGGGAAAAAAAAAAGAATTTCATGGGGAATTTTAAAACCCAATTGTTTATTTAATTGATTAAAAAGGGGTAGGCACCACACAACAGCATAACACAATCCATAAAAGAGCCGGGCTACTCAGCACATGCGCAGGTGCTATACCCTCTTTTATGTGTTGCTGTTATCTGTTGATGCGGTGGGCTGGACACCTCTTGATAAGTGCAATGAGTACCAAAAAAGGGAAATTTGGGGTTTTTAAAATATTGCACCATAAAGTCTTTCTTTTTCTCTCGAGTGCTTGGCATTTCACCCGATGGATACGTTTGACAGGTGGTCCTTTTTCTATTGGAGAGAAGAAGTGGATTTTCGATTAAATACTAAGTTTTTCTATCCTGTTTTTTATTTCGATCGATGCGGATCGGTGTGTTGCAGGAGTTTTCCGTTTCTGAAGATATATTTATGGATGATCTGCTTTTATATATCAGGTTTTTTGCGTGAAATTTGTCATATTTAGACACTTTTTTTGCCCAAAAGTTTTTGCATTAAAAGTTTTTTTATATATTTTTTGTGGTATTGGCATAATATATATTTTTTTCTGGTCTTATTGATTTGATGATTTCTTTATATATATTTATACACATTTTACTAGCGCAAATTATTTTTATTTATTGGTGCACTTTATATATGGGGGATTTTTTGCCAGCTGGTGACACTATTAGTAAGTTTATTTAATTTTGACCATAGGCGCTATTATTATTTTTTTTACCCTTGTTATGGATGTAGGTTAGGGACCTAGACTGTATTCACCTTGAGGGTTAGGGACTGATGAGAAATGTACAATATATATGTAAATTGTTGCATAAATTGACGGTGATATATAAGTACCTGAACTAAATAAGTTTGATGGTGAAGTAGTTGGTGGCAAAACTGTACATAGTTTAAACAACCGCACCAATTTCATGCCAAACTCTTTCCATAATTATATACGGGCCTATTGTACTAGGCTTTCATCAGAAACCAGCAGCAATGGTGGAATGAGGGAGAATACGGTATTTTAAACCAAAGTTTTGTGTCTTTTCAGTGTTCATTACTACAGGTTATGGGACCCCATAGTAAAATTTTTTGGGGCTCCCTGGTGACTTACTACTGTCATTGCATCTTATATAAAATCCATGTTTTCATAAGGACAGGTAGCAGGGAGAGCTTCGTATAATCATGTACACATTGCAGGGGCCAAGAAACTGTTGATAGTTATCACTAGAGATGAGCGAGATGTATTCAAAATTTGATTCGACTGATTCGTGCGAATTCGTAGGAAAAATTTTCGATTCGAGTCGAATATATTCTGCTGTGAATTTAACTTAAAGGCTTCAGAGAGACTTAATATTAGTGTGCTGAACACTTTGTACCTTTAATTTAAATGCCCTTGGAGTCTGCTGGGGAAGAGAAATAATACTGTCAGTCAGTATGACATGCAGATGAGTGCCGTCTGATCTTAGAATCACCGCACACTTCACTCATTTGGGCAGTCACGGGGCCAAAACAGAGTGTGGGAGCCACAGTGTGGCGGTGGAGGCAGCAGCAATGGGAAGGGCCATACAGCACCCTATGACAAAAATGGAAACCACCAGCCAGTGTGGAGAGAGACCATGGAAAGTGGCACATGGCAGAGTGTGGCGATAGAGACAGCAGCAATGGGAGGTCCGTTACAGGGACCCATGACACACTCTGGACCTGGCAGCAGCATGAGGAGGCGGTACAGGGGCCAATGACAGATTACGGGCCTGGCAGCAGCTATGGGAGGGAGTCGGTACGGGGGCCCATGGCAGATTACAGGCCTTGGCAGCAGCAAAGGGAGGCTCTGTTACAGGGACCATTGACACAATCCTGTACCTCGGCAGCAGCATGGGGGTGGCGGTACAGGGGCCATGACAGATTACGGGCCATATTTTGGCCAGCAGAATTTGGTAGGCGGTACGGGTGGGCCCATATGACACACTCTGGACCTGGCAGCTACAATGAGGGAGTCAATGGTTACAGGGGGCATGACAGGATTACGAGCTATGAGCTAGCTAAGACAACTTGGAAAGAGACGAGGACGTTCAGTTTCTCTCTGCCACGTCTGGTGCAGTGTCGCAAAACTGTTGTCTCTTGGGGAAAAGGATTCCAAGAAAGGGCTGCTGACGGAATCCGTTTAAGAGGAGTAGAGGAGGGGAAAGGGGCATCTGAAGACGGGTATGAACAAGCCCAAACAGGGGGCCCCTGAAGATTACGGGCCCGGCAGCCCGGATGAGGGAGTCCGGTTCGGGGGGGGGTTGGCAGATTTTGGGGCCTGGCAGCAGCTTTTGGGGGCCCCCCTAATCTTTTTTTTCCAGCCCCTATGACAAAAAATGGAACCCCCCCGCTGGGGTGAGGAGAAACCCGAAAGTGGGCACATGGAGAGGGGTGGCGATGGAGACGCAGCAATGGGAGGCCGTTAAAAGGGAGCCCCTGCAGACTCTGGGCCTTTGGGAGCAAACATGGGAGGCGGGGGGATAGGGGGGCCCCTGGCAGATTAGGGGGCCCCCGGCAGCAGACTAGGGGGGGCCCGTTTTAAAAACTGCCAGCACCCTATGACAAAAAAAGGATACACCCGCGTGTGAGGAGACCCGAAAAGTGGCACATGGCAGAGGGGGTGGCGATTTGGGGGGAAAAAAGCAATGGGGGGGCCGTACAGGGACCCATGAGAGATCTGGGGCTTGGCGCAGATGAAAGGGGGCGGTATAGGGGGCCCCTGGCAGATTTTGGGGCCCCGGCAGCAGCTATGGGAGGCCCGTTTAAACTTTCCGCCCATTTGACAAAAAAAGGAACCCCAAAAGCAGTGTGAGGAGACCGAAAGTGGCCTTTTTTGGGGCATGATTTTTTTTTTTCCTGGCGGATTTGTGTTGGTTTTGTCAGGAACTGGTGGTTTGGGAAAACCAGGGCTAAACCCCGCCTGATTCATTTTTACAAAAGTAGTCTCTCCACACTTTTTGGGTGGGGCCAGTGTGTCCTCGCGGAGTTTTCAATACCTCCTGCCGCACTAAAAAACCCCGCTCCCCATTTCCACGGAATGGCCCGGGGATGAAACCTTTCAAGGGGCCCAAAATTTAGCTTAGTTTGGGGGCCCAAAAGGGCAAGTTTGTTGCCCCGTAGTCAAGGGGAATTTTCTACCTCGGTTGGCAGGGGTGCTGTCCAAGTAGGCCCCCGCCTGTTTTTTGAGGGTTCCCCGCTCCAGGTTTTCCCCCTGGTGCTTTCTGTGGGTGGGGGCTGCTGCGGCTGGTTAGTTTGTTTTCCCCTGCGCTTTGGGGAAGAAAGGGTTACCTCATCGACTGCAGCTGGGCAGCCGGTGTGGTGGAGCTGCCCCTGTCCTACCACCCCACCCCCCCCTGCTGCCCTGGGAAACGGAACGGCGGAAGGAAAAGGGCCCACGGGGGTCTGAGGATGGACTTGGCGAGGCAGGGAGAGACCCGCTGATTTAAAAGGTGGTTTTTTTAGTACGGTATTTTTGGGTCCCCCTCAGAGGTGTGAAAAAGGCACCCTTTTTGGAAATGGTAGGTGGGTCCAAAAAGGGGCCCGCCCCCAAAAAAAATCCCTCTGTTGATGGTTATTATTCGGCCGTGCTACGCAAGCAAACCCCGGGGAAAGCTATTTTGGGGGAAAAATTTTTGCCCAAGGGAAAGCGAGGGCTCCCCGCCTCCATGCCACAGCTTTTGCCACGGGGGGCGTTTTGGGTTTCCCCTTTTTCCCCCTCCTCTCCTCCTTTCCAGATGGGTCCTGCTTTCCCCCATCCTGTCCCCTGGTGGGAAAAAAACCCATTTCACTCAAAAAATTTTCCCGGGGACACCAATGTCCTCTTCTAAACCCCCTCCTCTTCTTTCCTTTTCCTCCCCCACAGGGGTCATGTTTGGGGTTTGAGATCTGTGCGGGCCCCGGGCTACCGCCCCCTGACCAGCCTTTTTGGTTTAAAGGGATTTGTTCCCGGACGTGCAACAAAAGGGAATGACGTCGTTCATCCATAGTTCCCGGGGACTCACGAATAGCTGGGCCTCCTTTAAAGGGCCCTGAGCAAAGGGGGTGGGCAGAAAGAGCTGGGGAAAAGGCTGAATCTAAGTTACCAGGGGAGTACCCTTTTTCCGCTTTTTTAAAATCAGGAAAACGGTGATGGGGCCCTTTTGCCCGTTCGTAAAGGCGGTTTTAACATATGTAGGGTTGAATTTCCCCTTGTTGCAAAAGTCACAGAATGAGGAAATCGGTACGGGGGCCCTGGCAGATTACGTGCCTTGGGGGAGCCGGGAATGGGAGCGCCCCCTAATCTGCCCAGCCCCATGTCAAAAAAATTCAAAAACAAAAGCAGTGTGAGGAGACCTGAAAGTGGCACATGGCAAGGTTTTGGGGGGATGGAGGGCAGGCAATGGGAGGCCCTATAGGGAAACCCCTGACACACTCTGGACTTGGGGGAGGGAGCATGAGGATGGCGGTTTTAGGGGCCCATGGCAGATTAGGGGCCCGGCCGCAGAATGGGGGGCCCGTAATTGCCCGCACCCCTTTTTCAAAAAAATTTACAACCAGCAGTGTGAGGAGCCTGAAAGTGGACATGGCAGAGTGTTTGGGGTTTGGGGACAGCAGAATGGGGGGCCTAAGGGACCATGAGAGACTTGGACCCCGGCAGCAGCATGAGGAGGCGGGTATATGGGGCCCCATGGGATTAGGGGGCCCGGCGCCCGCTATGGGGGCCCCTAATCTGGGCCCGCACCCTTTTTGTCAAAAAAATTTTACACACCCGCAGGGGGAGGAGACCTGAAAGTGGCAATGGCAGAGTTTTGGGGGGATGGAGACAGCAGCAAAAGGGGGGCCGTACCGGGGGCCCCTGGGGAGACTTGGACTGGGAGCAGCATGAGGAGGCCGGGTTTTATAGGGGCCCCTAGGCGAAATTGGGGCCCGGCAGAGCAAAAGGGAAAGGGGGAATTGGGCCCCCTTGTAAAATTTTTCCCCGCGGGGGGGGTGGGGGGGGGGGAGGGGCCCCCAAATTGGGCCCAAAAACCCCTA